CCTTTTAATAGAAGCAATTTTAGAGTGTATGTTTTGAATGATTTCAGGATATCCCTAAATTAACAAAAATGACAATGACAACGATAATTATATGTATGATTGCACCTCCACATTAAATGCAAGCAACCAACATCATTTACATGAAAACTGTTACTTACTTTTTCAGAAATTTCCTTAAAAAACCTTGTATATTAGTTCAACAAAATAGCATTTTATATGGTAAGAATTCGAATGAAACTTTAGCTGAATTAAAGTATATATTTAGCGAATATGTATAAATCTTTTATTGTCTTTCACAGTATATTTTTGCGTGAAACATATCTATGTTCATCCCAAATGTGATTTAACTAACCAGCTGGAAGAACAAGTAACTCTGAACATCTGCACCCTCAGCTATATATATTTGCTAAATCTGACTTATGAAGAGAAATCTTTTTTGAGATGACGAACACTCTGATTTTCTTACGCATTTATAAAGTAAATAATTTGATAAAGAATTTATACTACTTCCTAGGCATACACAAACTCTGTTGACTTTAGTTCACCTTTTTTCTGAGATTTTACATGTCGAAACAGAAATTACCTAACTTAATATACAAACAGATAGAAAATTTGAGGGACTTCGTGTTGTATCTGCAAAAGATAATGAAATTCCACTGCTACTATGGCTTTTTAAAGTCAGGAACCCCACTGAGATATTCAAAACACAAATTAATTTAGCGAAGAATATTCTCTTGTAGAGAAATCATTTCCAGTATTTGTACAACCGTATTATTGGTAATAACAAACAAACAACTAAGTCTGTCATTGACTTGCAAGTCAGTATTAGATCATTATGACGGAATGTTCTGGGATAAAACAATGATACGTTTCTTGAGTTAGGAAAGGATTGTGTAATCATAAGGTGTATAGGGAAATTATTCAGTCGATCACGGTGACGGCCAATCAGTTAAGAAATGAAAATATGAGGTGCAATCAGTAGAAAAAACAGAATTTTAATGTAAACTGAAACTAACATGAAAAAGTTTGGGAAAGAAATCATAAAGTGGAAACCAAAAAAATAATCATTCAATAAGAGTAAGGTGAATGATGAAGTAATAGACAAACCCAAGCAAAGATTGTGATCACAAAAACATAAGGGAATGAACATACTTCTGCTGTAACCAGAGTTCTGGCTTTAATGTTTGGATTACTAACGCTCGCTCTATACAAAGATGACAAATCTGCATTACCTTAAAAGCCGTTTGGTTTGACTTTATTTAAGATTTTGCTAGAAAATTGTGAGGAAGTGACATAACCAAAGTTGACTGAATGGTTCAAGATGGGACTGTTGTTTGAGTTGCATTATCTTCTAGGCAGCTAAGTAGAATAGCGGTCGATAATGTGCTGGAAAGATTGCACTTCGTGCTACTTACATACATAGCTCTACAATAGTAGGTAAACTGGAGGACAAATATGGATGTGACGTGAAATGGCAGTTTGTCCTTCTCATCTTATTGGATCAAGTGTTAACAGAAAAAGAACAATCTCGGTTTGGTAGTATATAATGTTTTGTTGATTGCTTTAGAAAGACGATTCTTCAGTAGTTCTCTCCCTTAAATTCATAATTTATGAATACCCATAATCACATGGTTCATACAATTAATTTTAAAATAGGCTTGGATTTATTACATTAACTTCGTTCACATTAAGTTGAATAAGTAATCTTAGTGAACAGCTGGAGATATTGAAAGATATTTTATTTTTAAACATAAACAGCAGCTTACTGAAATTTTCATAATGACCTTTAATAAATTTCAAGTAAGACACTCAAATACAAACAGGCTGCAAAGAATAAAATCTATGTTTTATTTACTGAAGTCAGTCTCAGATATTTACTTTCCTTGAAAGTTAGAATAAAGGAATTCAGGAAACGTTTTTACTTTTTTATCAGCCTTATAATAAAGGCATTTATAAGTGGATGAACAGGTTTCAGTTCGTAAAGCTTTTGACATCTGAATAGAAATTTGAATTTTACTCCATTTTTATAAATTAATCTTGGATATTTGGCCAATTTTAAGTGAACTGTGCAACTTAAGAATTCATCATTGGCAATCCTTAATATATCAGCTTTATTATGCTATAGTTTTTGAATCCTTGGTTACCAGGACTGAATCTATTTCTAAACCAGCTCCTTCCTCTAAAGTCTTGATAAAGTCCGCTATCACATCTTGGTTGTATATTGTAGAAACTATCAATGAAACCAAGTATATGCATTCCTTTCTGCTTTGAACTAGTCAGTTGCTAACAATACTCATTCACTTTAATTTTGAAAATTACCAAAAAGAAAACTTCATAATTGATGACAAGGTGATCACAGCTTTGAATGTTGCAAAGATGAATGATGCATTTGTTTTTTTCAAAAAAGTGGAAGTCGTCTTACCAGAAAGATACTTGAAGATTGATGCCATGTTTCTCTGCTAGTTACTACGAAATATTGTCCAATATTCCCAAACTCGCTTCATTGGTCATTTGCTTTTGTCTTATTGTCCTAATCACTGGCCACTTAAATTGACGAGCTGCTATGAGAAAGTACTGAAACAATTTATCCCCTTGATCAGCCTTATCTATTGTTTTTTTTAGTATTCGCATATATTTGCTTTTTCCTGCGTGATCTAGAAACCATTTTGCCATTTATGCTGTTAGTTAATAACAATAGTAATGGCTTTATTCTGAAAGATATATGCAGAATAATGTACAAAATTATCATTATGTTATAAAGCATCAAGTGGATAGAAGCAGTGCACATAATAAAATGAAATAAGTAGAAATTATACATAAAAGATAAGAATATTTACTCAATCTACAACTTTCTTGAAAATGTTAACATAAGTAAACAATCGCATTAGAAATTAGATTCATAACACATAAATAATGACAAGCTACCTAATCTTCAATCAGTTTACTTTCAGAAGCAAACGTTGATTATTTATTTCTCCTCCTCACACAGAATATAAGCAAAATAAGGTGTTGTATAGTTTTTATATTTAGTTGAACGTGCATAAAGTCTTATGTACTTGCTCCTTGTCTTTACAGATGACCATCAGGCTAAGAGCTCTGAACGAACAGAATATTGGTCATCTGATAAAATAACTCGTGTCAAGTACTTACATGAAATAAAATGTTTTTCTGCAAGTTTTAACTGGAAAGCTTAGAGATATATCATTAGTTCTGTTGACAATATTCAAAGTTCTAAGAAGTACAGCATAGTCTTTTTTCGTCAACCCGGAATGAATAAAGGCGAACAAGAGATGAGAAAAGGAAAGATACTGGGGTTTTTAAAACACAAGAGATGAGTTATACCAGATAGTGATAGCTTCCTAATGTATAAAGTTTGGTGGAAAATTCTCTCAGAAACTACTAAGATATGGAAGAACCAGAAAAGGTTCAAAGAAACACGCGTGCCAAGATAAATCACACTTATACTCCAGTACACAACCATCAATAGCACAGAAATCACGAGAGCTAAACAGTTTCCTTAGCTTATGTTCACATATGAAACTGAAGTTTTTTACAGTCTGACATTTTCAAGAATAAAGCACAAGATCACTCATGGATGACCATCGTCTAACAGTAGATAGGAAATCCTTTAGTGGGGAATAATCTGTTGAAGTTGAGAAGGATATGGAAATTGTCAGGTCACCAGCGTATTGGATGAAATTGATATTAGCTAAAAATGGTAAGTCATACAGTAAATAATAGAAAGGACGCAGCCTTGAGGAACAAAAGCCTCATTATGCAATGAGTTCAAGGGTAGTGTGAGGTGGAACTTTTTCCTCACCAGAGTGTCTTCCGTTGGGAATTAAGGTGTTGAACTGACTGTCAGGCCCAGAAGCAGTGTTGCGCATTTGAAATCTATCTTATATTCTGTAGCCGGCTTTTTAATTGTTTATCAGTTCATGGCTTCACCTGTTTGTTAGTTATAATCGGCTTTGGAAAATCCTGTGTCCATATCTTCGGGATGGACCATATTGCATACTATTTTTCAACGGTTTAAATCAAGCGCGACTGAATCAAATATCCAGTTTATTTTAAAAACATTTATAGCAACTTAGCAAAATTATTCAAATGATAAATGTAATACGAATGTGTAGCCAAATACACAGATTTCCTACAACAACAGACGAAAAACGTTTTGATATTTTGCACTTTATTTTACTATGATCATACAAAACGAACTATTGCTACCAATACTTCCCATAATCCTAAGGTAGTAAATAGCTATTTCTTTTAAGTCATGTCTGCTTCCTGACGGCAAATAATATTTTAAACGAAATGATTAGGTAAAAAATGAAACTTCCTTTAGATTTATTCTGTCTGTGTTTAGCGACATGCAACAAGTGTAGACTAACAACACAGAAATAAATTACATTTCTTTTTATCTAGGTATAACACTTTCACAAACTATCAAATGAAAAAAAGCCAGCCAACGTAAATTATTAGGAAACATTTTGTGTCACACTAGATGGCACCAAACTTAAATGGATACTTAAATGCAACTAGTGTTTTTGGAAGACTAACTCACAATGTACTTAAAATGGCATTCAACATACTGGCTGCATGTAAAGCGTGTACAGGTATCCGTTTTCATTTTCATCTACTGCTGTGCTGTCAATTATAAGAAATAATACGAATCATGGTGACAAAAATCTTAGCAAGTTGAATTACAGTTGTACGTTAAACACTGGTTTATGAAATGAAAAGAACTTCTGGGAAACTCAGTTTTAACAACTAGGATCTTCATTTTAGGAAACATATAAACCATTCTGAATTCGCAGAAAAACCTAAATGCATATTTCTGTTTCGTATTTAGTTATCGTCACAACATTCTTTTGTTTAACTTAGTCTAGATCAAACTGTAAAAGCAGATTTGTGTTTTTAATTTGAGCTTATAAGTTTCTTAACGAAACCTGAGTGTCGGTTTGTTTATAAATGATTTCTATTCATATCGCTTGTGACAGATTCAACAGGCAAAGTTGTTAGAAATGAAGAAATTCATAATACATCATTCGTTACAGTGCCTGGACTATCGATTTATTCTAGGGATTTTATGTTCAGAGTTTATTTAGTTGCTGACGATGACTGCAAAATATCTTCTGACACGGTGACCTCAAATCTCAAACTTTACTACGAAAAAATGACAAAGTCAAGTCCGTTAACCAGTGGAAACAAAATGATTCAAAAAGTAAGTGTCTTGCATTTGATCACTGAGTTTTTGGTGTTATTCAACTGTAACACAATATACCAACTAAGTAGAAAATATTATTACAAGTTCACATTTTCTCATGATCCAAAATATTATTTCAAATTTTAGAGACATTTATTAAATACAGAAAAAACTTGCAGTGAAATTGTTGAAAAGCCATTTGTTGCTAAGTTGTTATTTTTAACACCAATCTTCATTTACTGAATAAATCAAGATAGTGCGTTTAGATGGCAGTCAGATGCATTCAAAGTAACCGCAAATTTCTACATGAACACAACAACCCCTCGCAGTTTGCTCCTACATAATTTGTATTTTCACATAACATATAAACAAATTTTCCAGCAGGCGAAAACTGGTAGACTGTATGTTAAATGTGAATAATCATTTAGATGAATTCTTATAAGTTGCTAGGCGTACATAATATTTGTCACTGCTGGGCAGACTTTGAGCTGCCTTTTTATGTTTTGAAGGAATGTGTTGATCAATGTGATTAGTTCTTTCTGCTTGTTTTGTTTCTCATTGTTTTTCCTTTCAAGGCACAACCATTTTTGTCACAGAAAATAATTTGTGATCTTAGTTTAGTAGTTTAACTTGGGAACTCTGTTGATACTAAAGATTGGCAGCCAAAAAACTAACCTACTGCGAAGAATATCTGTGTACAGTTCATAGATTGTAAGTAATTAGCAAATTGACAACACATTTTACGGTACTGCGATCACTTGAATTGAGTCAACCTGGCTGTCTTTGAATACTATGGTCAAAACGGTTAGGTGGCACTAAGTGGAAAATAATTCAACGTAGGTGAGTGATATACTTAGCAATAATCAAGTTTTTACACAGCTGCATAATTCACAGGAACAACTCCAAGCAAAAGTTCACGGTTCAATCAAATACTGAGAAAAGTAAACAATGTTATGTTGATGTTATATTCTCTTACCGAGACTAACAACGAGTGAAATATCCCGTAGTCTCATTGTAATCTTCCCATTCGCAATTACTGACTTTAGATGAGGTTACGTGAGGGACAAATTCCATCGGGAACCGTCTGTTATTTTTCTTGAAATCAACCTTTCAGATATAATTGTTACATCAGGTGATTTTATTGTAATGTTCAGGAAGCCAAATTGGGTAAAAAGACCCTTTGATGTGATTTTCAGAGCCTTAGATAAATAATTGCCATCGCTTGCAAAATATTCATTCAATACACCACCTATTTCTTACCAGCATGAACTTCATAAATAAAATGATAGATACTGGATTTAATGTCTAACAAATGCAATTCAAAGGTGAGCACAGATAGACTATATTACCATCAGCTTTCACTGGACAGAGTCACTGGAAGATTTTCAATCCTCCCATAGCACGTGCTTGGACAACAATCATGCTGTGGTTCAGGAATACTCATATCTGTTCTAAAATAGACTCATGAAAACTACGACAGGTAAGCCACTCCAAATATAGCTGTATGATGCTAATATGCCAAGGCTCCTTTCAAAGAGGAAGTGTTGTTTGGTTATCAAAATGGCCAGAGTCATTCATTTTGAAAAGTTCATCTCCAGTCTTCTATGCAGATAGTATTAAGGACCGTAGAAAGAAATTATAAATGGCCAGTTAATCTCAAAAGGTTTTCGTGAATTACTGGATTCATGTGGACGTTTTTCTGCTAGCTTTTACTGCAATTTGGAAAGAATGTAGACGGAAAGTAGACTAATGCAACGATCGTTAGAATTTTTCAGTGAAGGTTGAATGGATGGCGAAGGCCACAATGATAGGCAGTAGTAGAAATTTACTGAGACATCTAGGAAACCGAGATGAAGAAGCTTATGTCTACTGAAACCATACTGGATGAATATTGGTCTAGGATTCACTTGCAACTAAGACAAATGGAACGATGGGCGAAAAGTTCGGAGTAACAGCCTTAGTGGTCTGAAGTTACTTTGTCCGTTACCCACAATTAGGTCACATTTTTATTGAGATGCTTAAAAAAGATATATCAAATAAACAGAATTTGAAACGTCCGCGAGCAACTTGGAATGAGGAAGGGCAGTAAGTCTCAACGACCTACCAGCGGATGCATTACACAAGTTGTTCGAAGATTATTTGTCGGATTCACTAAAATGCCAGCTAGTTTACAGGTATCCGATATAATCCCTCTTATCTGATCTCAGTCATTAATTGTTTCAGTCTTACAGAAAGAATAAGAATCTTCCTATGATAAGCATACAGGAATCAGCTTAGGAGACATAACATAGTAAGATTCTAGGTTCTAGTAACTTTAGAAGCCAAGCATTTGACAAGTCAAGTTGCAGGCGTACCAACTATAAATTCACTTTCCACCTGGTTCTGGAATGCAGGCACACTTACAGCGTTTAACAACAACTGTATTTCTTGACATGAAGGCAACATAAGACTCCGCTGAACAATGGACCTTACTGCAGTGTCTTGTAAAGCGAGGAAACCTGGTAAATTCATTGTTAACTTGAAGGTCTTATATTCAAACACTGGTGGATGTACTAAAGCCTAAGATGAGGTATCAGGTGAGTTGTATTCATCAAATGGTTTCCATGAAGGGTCCTTAACATTTCCAATTTGACTTAACTCTCTTGTAGATTTTGTCATGTAGCCATATCTCCTGGTCTCACTTACCAGGTAACAACTTCATTACTGAAGACCTCTTGATAGACCTAGACTGTTCAGACGATACAATCCAGTTCAGTATAGGCTCTGACAAGGCGTGAAGTCTCCCGAATAACTTCAGTTTCAATCTGAAGTTGTCTGATTAACACTTATCACCATTCAAAGGCAACAGACTGCATCAAGATATGTCTTTGTTTGTGTTTTTTATGACAGTGAGAAGAAAATTGCATGGGAACATTAACCATTTCACTTAGCGGAGACGTTAGATCATCCCTGCTGCCTCTATAACAAGCGTAATCTCTGAATGGATACAAAAGGCACAATCAGCTTCTGTCAAATCACGCCACTGACGGATCGGTAAGATATCTGATCACAAAGAAACAGTCAAGTCTTAGTGGTCTCTGGGAAACTATTTACTCTGTTCTACTATATGACTGTGAAACATGGTGAATAAAGGTAGAAGGCATGTAGAAGCTGTATATACTGAACCAACGTGGTCTTCAGACTAGCAACACATTGGTTAGAGGTAGGGTCTTTGATAACAGCGATTATTTAATTGATGACAACTTAAGCTTGCATCAGCTATTATTATTAAGACACCTTACTCATGCCGAATAAGCTCTTTATTAAGTCCTTGTTGTATCTCAATTCTATCAATTAGTGTTTGCCACACTGTCAGTCATTAAAGACTCAAACTGGAAAACAGTAAATGTCACTCAGACTATAGTGTGGCAATAGTTCACGAAGCCTACGGCTGTTGATCTTAGTCATTTAAGGAAATGTAGACTTTAAAGTGAGGGTAGACTTGACAAATGAAATTAGCTGTTCGAGTCCCTAGGTGATATGGCTTGGAATCGATGGCAGTTGACAACATGAATCCACACACCATGCTCAGTTTATTCGTCATACCACATTGCTTAAACCCTCTTCCTCTTTTCATGGGATTCAGAATTTCGACAGCATTATTCCCCGTTTCTGTATATTGTGCGACTACTATGAATTACGGTAAATTGCACCTTTAAGCAGTCTTTCCAGGTTCCAGGCTGATACTGACTAACTAGTATTGTCTAGTAAGATTTTTTAATCAATCAGTTTCCAGATGCCTCTAAACTGAAATTGCAGTCTTGTCACAATCACTCTTTCCTATCATTATTACTGCAGCCGATTCCTTTGTTTTGATTGGTCAGCTTATTTAGACAGCGTCATCAACATAATTTCTACTTTTTCGTAGTAAATGATTATATCATGAAATTTAGGTTCTGCTGGTCTCTGATACACATATATTATTCAAAGACTTGATGATTACTAATTATATTGGTTGATCATTGGACAACAGCCAATATCATTTTGTCTAGTTCTGAGTCCAGACTGAATCATACCGATTAATTTCGCTATGTTTCTGTCAAGCTAGGAGGCTGACCATCATGGTTTCCTTTTGATGGATAACAGTTAGTTCGAGGTGATCGGAGAAAAGCCCGTGACCTAGGTTTCGTGCTTGTTTGCACTTGCCAGCAAGCTGTGTCTGTAACCTTACTCAGCTCAGTTAAATGACTTTATACTAGATTGTACTTAGTTAGTTAGCGATGACTGCGTTTTTGGATGGATTTACAGCACTTAGATTGGAATTAATTCACTTGATTGTTGTTGCTTTACAAAAGCTAGTTAACCTTTTGGGTATCGCTCTTAAGTATTTCTTAACTATTCGACTGCTCTTTTTTATCTGGGAGTTTGAAAAATTGCATTCCAGCTACCTTTCACCTTCATTAAAAATGGATTTAATCGTCTCATGCGTTTGATAACAGGCAACATTTGTGGTTCTAAATACCAGATTTTAAGCACATGTTCTAAATTATAGATAATTTCAATACTAGAAAAAGTAAAGTTTATAGAATCAGATTAATTTCATGCTCCAATGGAACTAGTCAATAAAGAAATGAAGAATCAACAATTTATTTTTGAACTGTAACATGCTTGGGTTATTTTAATTCACCCAGCTGGTTGCTCTCTCCCTCTTTCTGTTGTCTTCATGTTTCATTTACTGCACTATTCTTCAGAACTAGTATGAAAATAGCTACAATTATATAATCTAAAGAATGTTTACAACATTCCTAGGCCAACATTATTCCACAGATTTCCACTAGTGAATTTATTCGCATACCTTTGCATCAATCCTGCTTTCAAGCTCCCCTTGGATGCGATAAATAGGTATATGTATGTGCACGCACTGTAAATATCAAAACTGTACAGGCAACCTTTAGAGATACCTAGTATAAGAAAGGTTTTAATGGAGCGGGAGGGTGAAGAGGAACTAAAAGTCTTGTTTACAAAAGAATAAAGTGATGAGAGGAACTAATTTTTCTCCCACTTATCGCAATATATATATATATATATATATATATATATAATATATATATATATATATATATATATATATATATTGGAAGAGGTGGAGTTGTGGTAACTGCATGATAATATCAAAGTATTTACCATAAATACTCCTCAGGAACCTTTACAGTGTTAGAAATAACTGTAATGATAGTAACGATAGTAGTCAAAAGAAAGAAAAA